TCACTTGTCAAAGACAATGGAACATGAAATGGTCTCAAAATATATGCATTTCCTTTAATTCACCGACAAAAGTCTAATTTTCTCCATTCTCCCTCATAACTTATTTCCCCTTTCACATACATAAATTATTCACTTCAAAAGCAAAGAAGACTAACAAAATTGCAAATTCTTACTTTTTCACTTGGCTGGTCCTACATGACTCGAGGCTCTTCCAGAATACATCTCTTGAAACGGGATGTACTCTGAAAAACAATAGAATTTCAGTCTTACTCACAGAGCAGAATTAACAACCAAGTTTTCATGAAGTACAGTGCTCGTGGAAAAAATACCAGTTCACAACCTCTGGACGGTATGAACAACAAAATGAAACATTTCCAGATTTACAATAGAACGGTTGCATTTCCACCGTGACGGGCGGTCTTTCTAAAACTCTCTTACTATCACACTTCCCACCCTAACCTCAGCCCAAGTTCCCTCTCGGACATCCACTCAAAACAAACAAACCTTAACGGTCTGTTAGAAGTGCCCTGGTCTGGCTCCTCCGCCGCTGGTCCTCTGCCCAGGCCGGAGGGTAGGGGGAAGTGCTGAACGTCCTCTCCAGAAAGACACTTGCTAGTCTCAGGTGCTGGTTCTGACAACTGTCACGCCCTGTGATGATAATACTTCAAAATGTCTACAAGAATGTCGCACATGTTTCATTCACATAGTACTGCCTTCAATGGTTTCATCAAAAATTATCAAGGGCAATCATCATCTATTGTGGCTCTACAGGCAGCAGCTTGATATTCTTAGGGGCTGTTTCTGCCGATCCGAAATACCATATTCTATTTCCTCATTGACTGCAGCTTGCTGAGCTTAGGGGCTGTTTCAGTCATCGCCATAGTGGCTCAAAATGATCACTGGTTTCATCAGAAATTATCATGCCAATCTTCATCTATTTCGGTTTTATAGGCAGCAGCTTTGCTATTCTTAGGTGCTGTTTCTGCCAACCGTAAATGCCAGATTCTATTTCCTCACTGACTGCAGCTTGCTGAGCTTAGGGGCTGTTTCAGTCATCGCCATAGCGGCTCAAAATGATCACTGGTTTCATCAGAAATTATCACGGCCAATCTTCATCTATCCATGTTCAAAAGGCAGCAGCTTTGCTATTCTTAGGTGCTGTATCTGCCAACCGTAAATGCCACATATTTTATTTCCTCATTGACTGCAGCTTGCTGAGCTTAGGTGCTGTTTCAGTCATCGGCATACTGGCTCAAAATGTCCAAAAGATAACTGCATTTTAAGTACTTGCACAATGATATTAGCTGATATAGTTTACTAGTGGCACAACTTACTGGCAGCAGCTAGATAACTTTAGGTGCTGTTTCTGCCAGGAACAATCTTTTGACTGCAGCTTGTTCACTTTAGGGGCTGTTTCAGTCAACCATCCTACGCTACACCGACCTACTCACAAAAGTAACAGACTATTTTTTTAAATATCTGTGGTTTGGAAAATCAATCAAGAAGAAAACCAAACGAACGAAATTCAATTTCGAATCTTCAAACGGACAACTCAAAAGAATTCTTCTGCAACGTTTTCAACTCCGAACATAAAGCGGAGAAAATCTCAAAGTGCAAATTTCAGCGAACTTCAAAAACGCTGCTCAAACAGATAAAGGAGAAAAGTTCAACACAAAAAGGAAATTGAACGTTTTCAACTCCGAACATAAAGCGGAGAAAATCTGAAAGAGAAAATTTCAGCGAACTTCAAAAACGCTGCTCAAACAGGTAAAGGAGTTCAAAACAAAGGAAAATGAAACCAACAAACATTTGAAATGTTCCAAAATTTTAAAAAACAACAACAATAAAACCACAACCATCAGTCCTCACCATGATGGTTATAATTGTCTCAGAGATAGCCACATTTCTTTTCCTTACATAGTACTTTTCTCACAAATGATCACTGACAATTTTCATCTATCGATGTTCATGGCCAATCTTCATCTATTTCGGTTTTATAGGCAGCAGCTTTGCTATTCTTAGGTGCTGTTTCTGCCAACCGTAAATGCCAGATTCTATTTCCTCACTGACTGCAGCTTGCTGAGCTTAGGGGCTGTTTCAGTCAGGTCATCGCCATAGTGGCGCAAATGTTGAAAAGATAACTGCATTTTAAGTACCCGCACTGTATTGGCTTCAATAGTTATTGGCAGCAGCTCGATAACCTTATGTGCTGTTTCTGCCACTTAGGACTCGCAACAAGGATATACTCTGAGACAATTGAAAACGGGCCAAAGAAGGCAAAAAACATTGCAATTCCCACCATCTCTGTTGGCTGGTCCTACATGACTCCATGCTCTTCCACAATGCATCTCTTCAAACTGGATGTACTCTGACAAATTTTTTAAAAGGAGAAAACTAATGCTCTATCCAAAAACAGGAAGTCTTTACAGCTTGATTTCCATGCTTTGGCCACACCTCACTCAAATTTTCACTCAAGGTTCAAAATGAAGGACCAGGTTTTTATAGGGCATGATTCTTGTCAAAAAATACAAAATCAGAAGGAAGGTTCCATACCCTAAAGAAATTAAAATATTCCCACTTCAATGGTTGACAAAAATACTAGACACATCCATAAAAATGTATTCTGAATAAATATCTAAAAAACAGGAGAGAGCTAATTATGTATTTCCTTAAAAGTTGAATCTGCAGTTTTTATTTCCTTGCTTAGGCCTCAACATGCTTAAATTTCACTCGAGTGTTTCAAGGAGTACAATCCCTGTGCAAAATGTCTATATTAATATATTTGCATATGCTAAACAAAATGAAACGTTACAATAGGTCAGAACGTGCGTCTCCTTTTTATTTACAATAGAAAGGTTGTATTTCCACCTGAGCTGGCTATCTTTCAAATACTTTCTAATTATAACAGGGATGACAAATGATTTTTGGAGAAAAAAAAACTGAAAATGAGTGGAGCATCACATCTCACCTAAACCGAACCTTGAAAAGCTTATAAATGAGCAAACAAAAATGGATGAAAAAAACCCGGAAAAAACGGACATTTGGCATCCTTGTATTAATTTATAACATTTCTACCACCACCCCAACCTTCACACTAACTTCCCGTTTGGACATTAAAACAAAACAAACCTTTGTGGTCCATTAGAAATGCCATGCTTTGGGTCCTCTGCCAAGTCTAGTAATGGCGGGCAGGCTGTTGGGAGTGCTGAACATCCCCTGTGCGAAAAAAAATTCATAAGTATCAAAATAGTTTTAGTAAGTTTTATGGCACAATCAGGTCATATAAGTGCCTAAGATATTAGAGGTGTTACTAGAGAGTAACAAACAAAAAAGGAGAAGAGATTTTTAAGGACGATGTTTAATAGGGAAGAAGAAACAAACCAAAACAGAGCACTCGCCAACCATTTAATTTTTCTGAAAGCCAGAAAAATGGAGAGAGCTAGAAATGCCCAGATTCTATATCACACTTTGTCACAAAACTGCACTTTGTTGCCTGCTTTTTTAACTGTAAGTTTAACTGAAACTGAATAGAAAATCTGTATGAAAAACAAAGATACGCTACATCGTCACGAAAACAAGCATGTCGATTAACAAAATGGGAGGACTTCCGTAACGAGCGACCACTATGAGACAGCAGGATTGAGGGCTAGGGGTAGGGGTAGGTTTAGGGGTAGGGGTAGGGGTAGGGTTAGGCCTCTTCTTTATTGTGTTTGATAGGGTAGTCGCTCGTTACGGAAGTCATTCCAACAAAAACGTGCATCTCCAATGATGAGCCAGCTAATGCTAGAGATCTATCCTCTCAGACTGGCCAACATCGAGGGGAAATAATTCTGTCAATGGTCAAGACTACGGAAAAGACCATAATTTTTTAAATAAGTTATTTCCTTTTTCCAATAGGCTACTTGACAAGATGGCCTCCCGCTCTCACAAACGAATCTGTTGCGGTGAGTTAGGAGGGATCATAACACGGTGAAAGAAAGCCTGAAGGCCATTTTCTTTTCCAGAAGGAAATAGGAAAGGGAATTAACTCATCATCTTGTCCTTAATCTTAGTGAGTAAAGGCAGAATTGCTTCCCTTGAAAAAGACCAGTCCACTTGATGCTCATCCCAAGGTTGGCTGTATAAAGACAGGTTTTTATTATGTAGATCTAGATCTAGATCAATATATAAACACATTTAGGGCCTAGAGTCTACATACAGAGAGAAAGAGAGAGACAGACAGAGAGGGAGACAAAAAGGGAGGGCAAGGAAGGGGATGGGG